TCTGGTAAACAAATGACGTCATTATATGTTTATCATGTGATCGTCGATCACTGGGTTAACTGTTCTTCAAGTGTCCCGATAATTTTATTATGAGAGGATTGAAAAAAAAATAGAATTTACGTAGTTAGTTTCAAGCGAATTACGTTAATCATGAGCTAAAATTTATCTTTATTTCGGCTAAATTAAACAGTTAACGGTCACTAGATGGTCAAATTAGAACCGGAATATTGGTTACACAAATCCCAATTAGAAAAATACTTTTTTTTTTTTTGATTTATGTAGATTTATATATATATATTTTATTTATATAAATTTATTATAATTTAATAAAGTCCACCGAACTTCTATGAAATTCAAATCGCTATTGTTAAATAACAGAATAAAAAAGAAATTCAAGTTGTTATCGTTAAATGATAGGGAAAAACGAGAAATTCAATTTGATATTGTTAAACGACAGGAAAAAAAAAACAAAATTGAAAAAAAGAGAGAAATGTCATTTAATGAATTACCGTATATTGAAAAACCAGGTTATTAGGCAAGAAATGCACATATTATGGTTTAGGGAAATTTTGTTTACAATTTCTTCCTTGGTCATCGCAACAGGAGCATGTACACTGTTGAGTGTTCTGATTAAAGATACACACCTCCGTTTCTATAATTAATTTTTAAGTAAATCAAAATAAATTATAATTCATTTAAAATAATTTTAATAAAGTAAACCTACGATCGCAAAAAGGTGGGTTATCAGGACAACCTGCGGGAATTGGAGCAGGAGCGGGAGCAGGAAGTGCACTAATAAATGGCACCAAACCACCGAAAAACATAACAGCAAGTAACAAGATAAATAATTTTTGATTCATGATAGTTGTTTTTATTTAAATTTGTTACGGAGAGATCTGGTTGTGGATACTTTTAAGAGAATTTTAGATATATTTTTGAGAAGGCTTTTAACAATATATAACAGTGGAGATTTTGATGATATAAATTTTTTAAGGAGCATTTCCCGAATTTATAGAGTTTTCATGAATTGACACTATAAGTGCACGTTATCGAGAAAATATAAACATACACAATGTGACTTATGGGTGATAATTTAGTCTTAACTACATATAACAACAATATTACAATAAATTACGTTAGATTGATCCACAGATATATTTATATAGAGTGCGCCAATGAGCGATTGCAGTATTATTGTGCTTTTCAAATCGCCTGATGATCGTCCACCACGAAGAAATCTGTAAAATTTATCACTAATCACCAGATCTAGTGTACTATTAGAGTAGAAACCCTTTTTGCTAAATGCGAAAGTTTCGGGTTTGGATTATAGTTCCGAAACCTTATCAGAAACCCCAAAACCTCATCCGAAATCCAACTTTACAGAAACTTAAATATCTTAATACATAGTAACTGCATAGTAACGATGTAGTAATTACATAGTTATATACTATTAAATTTAATCGTGAATAAATAGTTACTATGTATAGTATCTGAAACCTGAAACTTTAAAATTTAAATTTTTGTTCGTTCTAACTAAATACGATCAGGCTAATATGCTGGTAGTTATTTTGTATATCAGTAATACCAATATTTAATTTTAGTATAGATATGATTGTAGTTGGAAATCGATAATAAATATTAAAAACGAATAAATAATTAGGATAGATATCATTTCATATATAATTGGATTTTAATTTATTTAATAAATTTATAAATATTGTTTATAAGAATTGTCGCAGCTGATGCTGAAAACGGCTGATGGTGAAATTTTGGAGTCTCTATTTAGAACTATAAGACCTACTAAAACCCATCTATACACTTTAATTAATAAACCCTGACAATAAACTCTACTCAAACTATTATATGAAGACTAAAAAAATGCACCCCAAAAAAATTATAAAAATTTAATAATAAAATAATCAAAATTTCAGCATCAGCCGTTTTCAGCATCAGCTGCGACAATTAATAATGTTTCTTTTTATCGCATAACTGATATTCACCGCGAATAAAATGAATAAAATATAAATTTTTATGAAGTAGATCTTTTCTCCAACAAATATTTTCCCGATTAGAGTTAGGCCTAGCCTGATTTAGAATAATTCATTGTGCAGGAAGATCTCTAAAATTCTAGGATAGCCCTATAGAGTTAGACAATTTAGAGTTAGCGTTAGTTAGTCTGTGTCGATGAATTGATGAATTCCACTAATCAGATCCGTTTCTAATATTTTTCCTTATTTAGTTATCCAAAATTTACTGACATTATTAACCAATTAAATTGTAAACTTTTACAATAAAATGCGAAAATGAAAAATACCGAAAACGGGAGTCTAAACCTACTTTGGGACATTAATAAAAAATGTCGGGGAGCGATTTTTCCTTTAGCCTTACTTTAACCCTAACTCAAAATTAACTTTGACTTTAATTGCTTCTAAATAAGGAATTTGTTACGTATTCTTTAATGTAGCACAAGCAGATGATTCGGATCTACTACCTTACATAGTACATTTTCATAGCAGTTTTAATTTCTCCCATCACTTGATTGGTTCTACTAATTATTCACATATGGAATATCTGTACTATTTAATCGATTTTATAGTATATACAGCGGGTAACTATCAATGCCCGGCCCTTGGGTCCTTATATAGCCGGAGATCTACCGGATTATTCCCGTAGTGGGAAATAAGGATGTTATTCTTTGTTTTGTATGATGTCATACAAAAGATGTGGAAAAACGATTTCCATATTGAATCGAAGAATTTGGATGTTAACAGATCCGATTAGAGCAAGTCTTGAAATTTCTAAAAAATATGAGAAATATCATAAATTCCCCACAGTATGGTGATCTGCATCTTTTTGAAAAATGATGGCAACGCAACGACTTAAATCATAAACAAGTTTTCAAAACCGATTTTTCCTCAGTTTTAAGTTTTTGATACCAGCTAACGCAGTAATTTATTGATTCACGACTCAGAACTTATTGAAAGGTTTTCAGATTCCTAGGATGAAAACAGCTATAAAATATGGTTATATCTAATACTGTAGCAGAACTTAATTAGATTAATATATGGCTGCCGATGCGATAATACATCCTGCCTTCATTATAAAGAACCTTTTAAAATGGATCCCTGTTATAACAAACAAACAATTTAGATAAAGTTTATATTGAATTATAGTAAATTTTCATTATAAGAGTTAGAACCTCTCAATCCGATTGATTCGTTATAATAAAGATAGAGTGTAATGTAATTTTAAATAATCAATGCAATATCTTTTAAATTAAGCATGAAAAACATTAATGTTTATTATTACTACTTCTAATATAAATAAGTAAAGTTCAAAAAAAAGGATAAAATATTGTTTTATCTACTAAATTGAAGATAAATATTGCCCTTTCACTCAACTAAGTTTAAAAGTGTTCATTTTGTTGATTATTACTTTGTCCTTTAGCAGTTTGGTGTTATCCGACACTTCTGTCACAAGTATTTTAAGTAAACAGTCTTATTGAAGCATATTAACAAATGGGTAATGAGCAAAATCCAGAGTTATACGTGTCTATCCATCCTAATATTGTCATAAAAAAATGTGATTTTTTGCATCATAATTAAAGCTCAGGTGCTAATGTGACATAATAAGATATCAAATCTTTGCTTAAATTTGTTTCGTAAACTTGATGCGATTTTTTACTATAAACGAACACTAATTTTTTCTTGCAAATCAAACTTAAAGCTTTGAATAAATTAGTCAGACCAGGCATAATGAGCTTAATAGTTTCAATAAAGCATTAAATATTAACTATTATAGTAAATGGTGCGTTTTATAGGCTGGAGTTTTAATTATGTCTTAAATTTTAGAATTGTCTTTAATTTTAGGAGGACACTTTAATAAGTTTGTAGAGAAAGTAACTCTTGCTTTTACTGCACATTTTATTTTAATGCGAACTCTTTATAACTCTGAATAAGCCTGAAAAGATAAGATTCATAAAAATTTTCTATTTCATAATTTATTACAATTATGGCAATTTAAGATCCAAGCGAAACATAATTTTTATTAGTGCACGGCAAAATCAAACAAAAACTTGATTTTCAAGTTTTTGGATCTATCAATTTACAGTATTGGACATTAAATACAAATTTTATTTTTAGTAAATATATAAATCTAACAGGCATCCGATCTTACTTTAGACTTCGTGATAACTGTTTAAAGTCAGATTAAAGTAAAAATATACTTTGTAATTAAAGCACAATACTGCAAATCGATAGATTCAAAAATTGAAAATCGAGTTTTTTGTTTGATTTTGCTGTGCACTGATTTTTATTTGGTAGATTAAAGTATACTGGTATTTTTTGACCATTATTTCTTATACTGTTTTAACCTATGTGTAGTTTACTTGGGCACTGTGAAAACTTTTTTTTTATTTTTGGGTCATTTTTTAAATCGGGCACAAATAGGAAACCTTTAAGATACAATCGGGTTCATATATGCGTTCAATACATATCGGAATGCTGATAGTTCTATGGATAAATTGAAAATGCTATAAGAAAAGCTTATCGATTTACCTATAGAGCTATTGGCAGTATTGAACGCATATATGAACCCGATATGTATCTTAAAGGTCTCATATTTGCGCCAAATATCTGTTTCAAATCAGTTTTATATCGGGATTACTTGTTGCCGATTAGTACCCGATTTGCCTTCATTCGACCTGTGCTATCTGCTGCTAACTTTAACTATTTCGTAATTATTCTTGTTAAACTTAGCTTGATAAAACCTACAATAGAGTAAATTTTTTAAATTAAAGTTTTAAACGTCAGTTATATTTAAATTAAAATACTTTGAAAGTCAGTATATTTAAAAAAAAAGTTTCTTTTTTTTTTTTTGTTAGAACATCAGGGGATCATCTGAAGCCAGGTATATGTATAGAATTATATGTATCACGTGATTTTTAATTTACAAATTTGCCAGTAATCAATTTTTAAACTACCTGGCTTTAGACGACCTCCAAATCAGCCAGTTGAACTAGGAGCCAAACATTCCCGAAATTTCGTATAACTTGAAGGTTTCTTTCACTTCAATTCGCTTCCCTAAGCTCCAGCCAACAAAATTCGTTCGGAGTTTGTCCTGATACAAGTGTAAATATGGATATTCGTGTAACAATCTTGACTAAAACTTTCTGTAGCGTAACAGTAACCATTTTATTGTTATTACTTGTTATATAACTTTATTTAAGCACAGTACGTACGTACGCAGTTAAACTTTTAAACAAATATAACTCTGAAAATGACAGTAAAAAAACATTTCGAAAAACTTTCGACTGATTACCTTGAACTACTTGATGATGATTATAATGATGATTTTAATGTAATCATTAATGTTGGTGAATCACCAAATACAAAGATATTCAAATGTTTTGAGATGTAGATCATTGTATTTTCGAGATAAACTAGTAAACACTGATAAAGATGCAAATGAAATTAAAACCATTAATTTAAAACATATTTCTATTCAACAATTTGAAACTATTATTAAGTAAGTTGTATTTTTTAATAATAATATATACAAGAAACTAATTTTAGACTTTACAAATTTAATAAGATATATTTACGGAGGAGTGGTTTTATTAGAAAATCAGGATGCAACATCCATTTATGAACTCATGTTTATTGCTTTGGAATTTTTTCTAGAAGGATTAGCTAAACATATTGAACTTCATTTAATTGAAACAAAAGCTAATTGGCTTCGTTTACACTTTACTCGTATTTATCAAAAAAGTTTTCAAGATAATCAATTTCAAAAATTACAAAAATGGTGTAACGACTTTTTGGTAAAGTATCCAAATAAAATTTTTGATTCAGAAGATTTT